ATAATAATAAATTGTTGATAATTAATCTTGATTGGCAAGATAATTATATATCGACATTGAATATTCATTTACTATATACAGTAGTAACTATCAGTAGAAGATTTGTACAATATAACAATCTCTCTTTCTCTCTCTTTATCGGAATTATGACGAGAGAAAGTAAAATCGCGAGAAACTTTCAAGTTGCTATTTAAAGTTGCTTTTATATATCGCAAATAATAATATTGCGTTTGTATTTTTTCTTACAGTGAAATCCGTTCTCATTTAGCGCGTGCAAGAACGTATCAAGGATACATGACTATGAATTGTTAAATAAAAATATAAGTAACATTGAAGAGTTAAAAAATTTGCGGTCGGACATGTATATATTAGAAACTTGAGCGAGAATCTACATTATGTAAATATATCACAATGAATCGCCTGTGAAGGGCAAAAATTGTCTGAAATATAATATCCGTCAAAGTATTAAAAAAAATCACCTAGTATCGTATAAAATTAATCATAGGTATATAGAGATATAAACCTGTCGAAAATTCGTCAAGGTAACGTGGTGACATGAAAGTAACGATCACATTTCGGAAATATTCACTAGCACAGGATCATTTTTTTTTTTTTATTACTTTGACGGATTATATTTGACAATTTCTGCGCTTCACGCGTCATTGAAAAGAGAATCTAGTTTTAAGAATCAAAATGTTTGCAGTCTTTTACATCACAAGAAAAATAAGTGATATCAACAATTTTGTTTTTTAGATTTACGTTACGCTAATATTTACATCATAAGCGTTATAGTTACTCCTCCAGCCCACTTTTATTTTCGATCTTATTATTGGGGCCTTTAATTATAATTTGAATTATATTAATAAAATTCGTAAAACAGTTTTTTATTAATAATTTGTAAAACGGATTTTTTATTAATAGTTTATATACAATTCTGTTGTAAATCTTTTTATGTTAATCTCATTGTTTTATTTTCATTCTTTTTTAAAATGTAAATTCTCCGATTCCGTTTAAAATGCAAAAGTGCAACAAAGAACCCATTACTTTTTTGCTTCCTTGCTCTATTTTCTTCTTTCTTTACTTCTATTACTTTGTTTTGCATATAATTTATACATCGATTTAATTTATTATTCAATAAAAATAATTAATTATAATTATCCCTAAATGAATATAATTAATGATAAACATTTTCGATTACAACTAATTAATCGCGTAAAAATCAATTGTACAATGCAATTAGATTATTATTGACTGCTAGACATACAGATGTGATAGAACTCGACGTGTAAAAAAAGAGAAAAATTTGCGTAAGAGGAAAAAAGAGAAGGAAAAAAACGTTTAATATGTCAAAGTAATTAAATGGGAAATACCAGAAGCCATTGAGATTTTCCTTCAAGATTATTGATTCAGGGATAAATGATAAAAGTCTATTTTCTGTTAGAATGTGATCGATGATTCTGACGTCGCTTTCCTCTTGACTATGATCGCTATATCATTTGTGTAATGTCAAAGTATTGTTTCTCTACATACAGGATGCATGGCCTTAATTTGTTTCGTCGAAACGCTCTCTTGTAAAATCACATTTCTTACTTTTCAATACACATATAACCTTGAAAGCCATTAATCTATTGTGGCTTCTTTCTGTAATCCAATAGCTCAAGTTTCATGACAATCTCAATATTGATTACTTTAAGAAATTCTCAACGATCGATATTTGGTTGCGTTTGAAATATCAATAAAACATTATAGAATAAAATATTACGTTAAAACGAATACAGAATCAGACAAGAATGTAAACAAATATCGAGTCGATAAAATCCACAGACTTCTATATATATAGAAGTCTATGATAAAATCATTGAACTCTATATATATATATGGAAAATGGAAAGTGCCATGTTACTCAAGATGGGGGATACACTACTGAATACTGAACTTGGGCTGCGGTCGGGAAGACGCTAGAAATGCTTCGAAGCATTGCATTAACCAATCAGAATAAATAAATCTTTACTCTTTTTGTCCTGATTGGTCAATCAAACGCTTCGAAGCATTTCTAGTGTCTTCCCGACCGCAGCTTTTTCGACTCATATCGCGAGATATAGAATGGCCGCTAGTGGCGCTAGTGGCGCGTATAGGTTAGTTTTTAGTTTGTCGCGCCGGCATCCTATTATCTTACATCGTCGACCATCGTCGACGACACTTTCGGCTTTCGGCAACTCGCGGCTCGCGGCTCGCGGTAACTGATGGTTCGCATCGCGCGAAGATGTTCAATTTCCTGAGGACTTCCACCTCGATGCAGAATGCTCGTATCATGTCGACCGCGCAGTGCTCGATGCGAGTCTGCTCCTTTTGCAACTTTCATCACCTCAGATCTTTCAGATGTACGTAACACGTGTGAATGTATTTTTTTTAATAAAACGCTATTGAAAATGATACATTTGTTTCTTTTTTATGGAATTTTTCTTATTTTTCTTCTTTTATATATTGAAGCTTTTTTTCTTCTTTTAATTACAACTTCTTTGACAAATTGGTAGACAAAGCAGAATTGCGCTATAATAATAATAATAATAATAATAAAACAAAAAAATACTTTACATTACTTTTAATTTGTTATTTTCATATTAGGGTAAAAGAAAATAAATTAACTCATAAATCTCATAAATTATCAGAAGTTTTTGTTGATTTTTCACTGATAATTGCACTTGTTGGTACTGCGGATGCATCCAGCCTGCTGGAGAAATATAGTATTCCTTTGTTAACGGAAAGATTTTTGCTTTATTATGAGAAAAAACTTTATGAAAAAAAAACTTTTGTTTTGCAATTTGATGCTGAAAATTATTTGTTGTTACTCATTCTTATTAATAAAGAGCAGCAAAGATATCTTAATGAAGAAATATTGTATATGTAGTATTTGTAGCTAAGAATTAAGATACTTTGAACGTTATAGATAAATGAGATAATATAGGAATTGAATAGGTAAAAAGTATAATTTATGCTTTATTTGCTTTCTGTTACTACTTATTTATACATTTTTTACTTTTAGCGACGAGATACACATCGCTTCGTCATTATGCAACAACTGATACAGTAGAATTGCATGCTCCTTGGAAGAAGAAGATTAAGCGTTGTTCTAAGAAACATGCAGAATTACTGGAAGGTATATTAATGTAATAAACTATATAATAATTGTGTACAGAACAAATGTACAACACAGATAATAGATATATATTTTTAAAAAAAGCAATTAGTGAATAGTAAGTAAATAACTAATTATCTTTTATTTTATCATATTAGTAACAGATCAGACAACCAACAGCAGAAAAGCAGCAGTGCGCAAGTTAAATTCTGCTCATGTATCCATGTTGGTTGGTCAGCCTGATGCAACATTGGATAAACTGCACAAAATCCCTAATTTTTATCTCGATAAGAAGGCAAGCTCGACACAAGTGAAAGATAACAAATCTGACCCTAAAAAAGATTTAATTTACACTGTAAGTAGATTAAATCCATGTTGGTTGGTCAGCCTGATGCAACATTGGATAAACTGCACAAGATCCCTAATTTTTATCTCGATAAGAAGGCAAGCTCGACACAAGTGAAAGATACCAAATCTGACCCTAAAAAAGATTTAATTTACACTGTAAGTAGATTCTTAAATCTTGTTGTAACAGGAAGAATGAAAAATGATGAGAAACGAATAGGTGAATGGATTATTATGACTCTCGAAGATAATGATATCTTGTAACTGGTACTTAGAATATAAATAAAGTTTTTTTTTTTTTTAACTTACGATATTTCTATGTGATTTCTCGCAGAGTGTGCGACAGAAATGACGACGGACATGAAACGCAGAGGCATCTCCTTTGACGACATAATGAACATGCGGTTGAACGCGGCGCAACGCGATGCCATTCTTCAATGTATTCAGTTCTTGGATCCGCAATATCACGTACAGTATAGAGACATCGACAGCGCATACAACTGCAAATTATTACAGAATCTGATGATAGAGAGCAATCGTCAGAGTCCGGCCAAAGGAGTAGTAGTCATGAATGAACTGCGGGACATGGTGCATACACAGGTCGATATGGAAAGGCAGTGCGAGCTGGAGGTGAAGAGTATCGCGCCGTTCACCGGAGATCCCGACGTTAGACAGCAAGCTGTAAGTTCTTTATCAATTTAATATCCCAAATGTTCTAAATTATTTTTGCAAGATATTAATATTTATTAATCTTTATATTTATTAAAAAAATTTTACTTTTTCTTAAGATTATTATTTATATAATCAATTTTCTTAAAACATTGTTGTATTATTAAATTACTATTATGTTTCTTTATTCTCAATCTTAAATTAATTCTGTTTGTGCTTAACGCTGTCTTGCATAAACTTATGTTTTTGTATTTAATAAAGATGATTTTACATGCTTTTATGTGCAAGATTAATTAATTGGAAAGAGAAATTGTGAAAAAAATCATATTACACATATATACATACTTAAGGAATTTTTTATAAAAATACGAAAATGATTAGTTAATTGTGACGTATTTTTATGTAGATCGAACGAATCGCGGAATGGGAAAAATCTTGGAAATTAGTCGTGGCGCATGCTTTCGAGAGGAACTTGACTTATCAAAAACAAAAAGAGTTGATGATGAAACCCGATTTCAAAGCATTGCACCCGTTTCTGCAAGTGCTACCCAAGGAGGAGTACATCAACGCGATTCTACGTGAAATTAACCAACTGGCCAGATTCTCCGACGCGTATAGCACTTCCGTAACGAATTTATATATAACACTAGGAAGATACATTTACAAAAAGTATCAGGTATATAACATATATCGAAATTGTTTGCTTTTTTATTTTTTTTTTTATATTATTTAATTATTATATATACACATTTGCTCTATATTTTTTAAAATTTCTTTTATATTCTAATATATTTTATCTTAACTGTGTGTACAAAGAATAATATTTTTAAATGTTGCATTATCGGACTAATAAACTTAATGTTTCAGTTTCAGCGAAAGATGAAAGCCGGTGTCATAGAAAACTCTATTCAAATCTACGAAAAATATTTGGAATGGTACATGCGGAAAAAGCCCGTTGACAGCGTTAACGGGCGCGTCAAATGGCAGCAACTCGCTCAGAAAGCCAACCAGTCCGGCATTTGCTCCGAAATGATAGTGCCAGAGTGGCCTCGTAACATCTTGCTAAGCGTTGGCGAGTTTCTGTACAAAATAATTCTAAATGACGTGAAGATTTGTCATGTATCCAAACCTGACGCATCCGAGCGACAGATACCCGCATTCTACTTGCTCTTCAGAAAACAGACCAATCATTTCTTGACAGAGGAGATTAAACCGCATCCTTACTTACACAGGCTCTACAAAGACTCGCATCCAGAAACGTTGACCTTTGAGACGATTCTCTTGCCGACGTGCTCGCCGCCGCGGCCGTGGGTCGATATAGATACCGGCGGCTATTTGTTCTCCAAGGCAAGCTTCATCCGTGATCCGTATATGCTTGCTAAGAAATACATCGACGAGGCAATTATACCCTGCACTCGATTGCCTGAATCAACTCGGTTCGATTCCATGGAAAATCAATGTGCCCATGCTGGATATTCTGATCCAGATCTTTCAAGAGGGAGGTTCGGAGAAACTGGACGTACCTCAACCACCTTCGGCGCTACCGTCTCTGTCCGAAATAATCTCGTCAAGCGACATGGATAAAAGTAAGATAACGAAAATGGCGCTTCAACTCAGGCGCAGGAAGAACGAAATGTATTCGCTATGGTGCGATTGTCTCTATAAGTTATCCCTCGCTAATCACTTTAGAGACAAGGTATTCTGGTTGCCGCATAATCTAGATTTTAGAGGCAGAGCTTACCCGGTGCCACCTCATCTGACTCATCTCGCCTCGGACTTGGGTCGCTCGATTCTCATGTTCGCCCAGGGAAAACCTTTAGGTCCGAAGGGTCTGGACTGGTTGAAAATTCACGCGATAAATTTGACCGGTATGAAGAAGAGGGAGCCGATAGACGAGCGGTTAAAATTCGCAAACGAGATATTGGACTTGATTGTGGACAGCGCGAGAAATCCATTGACGGGAGAAATGTGGTGGATTAAGTCCGATGAACCGTGGCAAACTCTGGCGGCGTGCAAGGAGATAGACAATGCCCTGCAGTCTCCGAACGTTGAGAAGTACATCTGCAGATTACCGATTCACCAAGACGGCAGTTGCAACGGATTGCAGCATTATGCCGCTCTCGGGAGGGACCAGATCGGAGCGGAAAGCGTGAACTTGTATCCCTCGGATACACCGCAGGATGTATATAGCGTTGTTGCTAGTATGGTTGATGAATACAGGAAGATTGACGCGGAGGCCGGCAATGAAGTAGCTAAAGCCTTGGAAGGATACGTCACGAGGAAGGTCATCAAGCAGACGGTGATGACCACAGTGTACGGTGTTACAAAATTTGGCGGTAGACTTCAAATCGCCCGGCAACTGAGCGACTTGAAAGACTTCAATCAGGATTATACTTGGAACGGCAGTCTGTACCTGGTCGAGAAAACGTTTCAATCCCTCCGAACTATGTTCACGAGCGCGAAAGAGATCCAGGATTGGTTTACAGACTGCGCCCGTGTTATCTCGACCAGATGCAATCAGAACGTGCAGTGGGTGACGCCGTTAGGTCTTCCGGTCCTACAACCCTACTTCAAACGTATCAAGTCACCTAGTCAGAACAAGCTCGTTAGGTGAGCCTTCGTGTTGATCTTTGTTTATGGATAGAGTTAAGAGAAAAGTTTTTATTTCATAAGTTTACTTATAACGTTATTGCAAATAATTTAGTTATTGCATAAATAACAGCAGTTGGTGTTCTTTTAATATACAATTACAACTTTTTATTATCTATCACCTGATTTCATCTACACTTCTCTACTTACATTAAAAGAATAAACAACTGTTTTCTTATTGAAAGTTATGAAATTTTTGTATAATGACTTTATAAAAAATGTCAGTTTATGAGATAAAAATTTCACGCAATAATTTTTAAATTATACTATCTAATCGCAAGAACTATTTTTGAAGTTATTTCTCGTATATTTCTCGTGTACTTATATATGTATATTTTTTTCTTTTTTTACCAAATTATACATAATACAAATATATGCCGTTTGCAGGAAGCCGGACACTTTAAAGCAAAAGAACGCCTTTCCGCCGAATTTCATTCACTCATTGGACTCCAGTCACATGATGCTGACGAGCTTGTATTGCGAACAAGCGGGGATTACGTTCATGTCGGTACACGATTGTTTCTGGACGCATGCATGCACCGTAGACATTATGAACAGAGTAAGCAATGTTACGGGGACATATATATTTCATTGTGATTTTGTTTGTAAATAACGACGCATTAATATATAACATTCCGTTTTCTTTAGATCTGTCGGGAGCAATTCATCGCACTTCACTGCGAGCCCATTCTCGAAGATTTGTCAAAGTTCCTTTGTAAACGATACGAAAAGCACTTTATAAGCGGCCAAGGGTAAGTTGCGAGCTATGAGAAAAATTTGAAGATTAAGAATCTAGATGCATGTGTAAAAATTGTAAAAAATTATGAGAAAATGAAATACTGATGTCATTAACGTTACTTAATTAAAATTTTAGGTTCGTAAAACAAAGAGACAACGATCTTTCATTGGAGGTTTTTAAAAAGCTGCCAAAAAAGGGTGACTTTGACATTAGCAAAGTCCAATCATCTCAATACTTCTTTAGTTGAACTTTAGATGTGTAGCTTTATGTTTCCTCGAAACATAAATTTATACAAATGTATAGAATGCCTATGGGCATGTTACGAATGTAAATCTTTAATTTATCTTGTAAATTCTCTTAATAATATATGACTTGGATGGTCTCAATGCGGGCTACATATGCTTTATCCAATTATATAGTAAGAATAATAATAATAATAATAATGAAAAATAATTTGGTTTGATTTTTGCTAAATTCGAGGGACTGTTGGTAATGCAGATCTTTGCAATACTTGTAGCAGTTGCTACGGCAACGACTGTGTCAACAGACAACCTAACCTCTAATTATTTTTTTGTCGCGATTTTCTGCATTATTATATCAATATATTTTAGCGATATGTAAAGCCGCGGAAATAGTCGAAAAAATAAATGGGAATCGTTGCATTCAACTCGTGGCCGGTTGCGTGAAACAAGCAGCAAGTAATGTAATACGTCAACGATGCCTATTGACTTTGAGGAACGCATTATCGGTGCACCTCATCCCCGATGAGATCTCGATGGGTCTTCGATTTATCGGTTCAATAAGTTTGGATTCTGATGTTATAAACGAGCTACACCAGATCCTGAAGATTTCAAGTTTTAATTCAATGCAAGCTTTTCAAAACTCTAAACTGTCCAATCCAATTATATGTTCAAAAATTATTTAGGAACCTGAATATTCAAGATCTAGGATACTTCAAGATTCACTATGGATTTAAGATGTCAAGAATTTTAAAAATTAGAAGAGAAATTGACAATAACGTAAGATTTTTAAAAATCCCTTTAAAACAATTTATATATTTGAAATTTTTATATTTAAATGTATTCAATAGTTTAGAAAGCAGGAGAATTATTTTATCTATCTGTATCGTAACATACATATTTTATTTCAGAATTGATATAAAAATTTAAGAATTATAAAAAGGATATAAAACACAGAAAAAATGGAAGAAACAGAATATATAGCTCTGATCGAGTGGCATTGTCGCCAGCATTACTACAACGGCATGCTGGCTAGTGCCAAGCAGGCGCGCGATGCTTATCCGGGTAGCGAACGATTGAGGCTTCTACTCTGTCTGGCGTATGTTCTTGTCGGCAAGAATCACGAAGCCATCAAGGAAAGTTCGAGCTTGCTAAACTATGTGGACTTTACACTGCCAGTGTTGCTCGTGCAAAACATGACGCTGGTCGACGCGGAGCGTAGCACTGTGACTCAGATGGAAAACAGAATACGAGATGAGCGCAGGAAAGCTTCCTGCGTTGCACTGTACCTCGCAGCGTCTGTATTATTTCTCGCTCGCCGTGCGGACAAAGCGAAAGAGTATGCAGACCGAGCATACAAGATGAAACCTACGAATATCAACGTACTGCTCGTCAAGGGATGGCTGGAGTCCAGTTTGAGGTTCAGCGCGGATACTTTGAAGGCAGGGAGCTTCTTCGATTTGATCTTAAAGGAAGAGCCGAGAAACTTGAGCGCGTTGTTGGGTTCCGCGAAGATGAAACAATATGCCGGGGAGTACTCCGATGTCATCGCGATATTGAATTCTCTGATCGTACGTTATCCCAAGCTGCCACTGCCACTTATAGAAAAAATGAAGTGTCTGTTAGCCGCCAAGGATTGGGAACAGGTGCTAGAGATGGTAAACCGAGTGCTATCGATCGAGTCAAACAATCTGGACGCCATCAAGACGAGCTCAGTTGTTGCTCTCTGCAGAGACGGCAATCCCAGCGAAGGTTTGCCGCAGTTGCAGTTATTTATGCGCAACTTGCTGCTCGCTGAACCGAAGAACGAGTTCCTATTAATCAAAAACCTACGCTTGTTTTCTGGCATCGCATTCCAAGATCACGGAATTCTTTCGGAGCTGGCGCGAATAGCCGAGAAAATGTTACATGCGACGTCATCGAGCAACGCGGAGCTAATGGCGGAGTTGGGCGATATACATGCCGCGCTGGGCAACGTTAAGGATGCCGAGCGCTGGTACAAAAACGCCATTCGCGCGGATCAGTCCTCTTTCGTAGCACTCATGGGACTGGCTCACTGTCAATTGCTGGAGGGATCTGCGGAAGATCTGGAGCAAGCGCGTCAACAGGTAAATGGATATATGTAAAAATAAATTTTTTTAAATTTAAATATAAGAGATAGGTAACACTGATCGAATAAATGTTAGAAAGTTATCATATTGAAGGGTATGTCATATTTTACAGATAGAAATTTTGATGGAGATACAACCGCATTCGACGAATGTGCGGCTACTATTTATGTCCGCGAAAATTGCCTCCAATGAAGACAGCGTTAAAGCGCTCGGCTATCTCGATGCGGCAGCGAATGTCTTATTGAAGAATTGCGAGGGTCTCGTCTACGGCTACGAGTATCTCAGCGAGCTTAAACCGGATTTATGTCTCGAGATTGCAAAGCAACGATTGATGTATTCATTGAACAAGTCACCGATGGGCGACGAGGTAATTACTCTGCTTAAAGAAGTCGGTTATGTTGATCTTCTTTTCATCTAATTCTATTAAACTTTTTAAGCAGGTTAGTGCAATGGAAAAGGAACCGAGCGTTTGCTTGCTAGAACAGCTAGTCGAGGCCTGTCCAGGTTCTAGCGTAGCTTTATTATTGCTCAGCAAGGCCAAAATGCAGAGTGGCGATTACGAAGGCGCATTGACTTTGCTGAGGAGATTATTGGATACGGTGGAACCGACCAATGCGCAAGCGCATCTCATAATGGCCCAGATCCTAGCGTATCAGGGCAAGTACCATCTCGCTTCGCAGAGTCTAGAAGTCGGTCTGAGCTATAATTTTAAGATCCGGGATGAGCCGGTCTACCATCTGATCATCGGTATGGTACAACGACAAGCCGGCGACCTGGAGAATTGCGTTAAGAGCTGTCAGATAGCCATGTCGCTGGCTAACTTGACTGGCGGCGCCAACAGGAAATCCGATATGTCCGCTTCGGATCGAGCGACGTTGTATCTGGAATTGATTGCGGCGTACAGCAAGGCGAGGCGTTTCGCCGAGGCGTTGGCTCTCGTCGAGGAGGCGAAGACAAATCTCGCCGGTACTACCGAGTTAGGAAGAGTCACCATCAGCATGGCCGATATCTACTTGGACATGGGAGAACTGGAGAACGCTGTCAATTGCTTGCAAAATATCTATCCGGGGCAACCTTATTATTTGCAGGCGCACACTAAACTGGCTGAGATCAATTTAAACTACAGGAAGGATCGTCAGGCATTCGCGAAGTGTTTCAGGTACAAAAACTTTGATCTCTATGTAGCATTATTTTTAATATATTAAATTTATATTTATAAGATAAGATTGCTATCGTTGATATATACTTTTTAGAGAATTGGTGGAACATTGCCCTGGACCGAAAACGTACAGCATGTTGGGTAACGCTTACATGTCCATACAGGAGCCCGAGAGAGCGATAGAGGCGTACGAGCAGGCACTCTCACAGAATCCGGTCGACAAGGTGGACATTGCGAATAAAATGGGCAAGGCACTTGTCAAGGCGCATCAGTACACGAAGGCAATCAATTATTACAAGGACGTAGTAAAACACGATAATTGTGCCACCTTGAAATTAGATTTGGCCAAGTTGTACATGAAGATGAAACAGTACGACAAGGCAGAAGCGACCTTGGTGCAAGAGTTGCAAGGTAATTATTTAAAATTGAAACAAATTAACTCATAATAATTATAACGATATCAATAATATTGATACATTAATCATTAATAATCTAGATCTATTTAGCTAAAACATACAACATACATTTTAATATAAATTTAATATAAAATTAATTTAATATAAATTTCTCTCATATTTGTTAAATATAAAAATTGATTAACCCTGTGTGTGATATAATTTAATAAAAGTACCTTTACTGTAATTTTATATTTATTTAGATAAGCGAAACGATTCTGATATGCTAAGTTTGGAGACGCGAGGACAGGAGTTGCTATTGCTCGCGAAGGTGCGTGAAAAATCGGGCAACATTAAGGGCGCGTTACTTACCTTGAAGGAAGCCAAGGAAAATCAACACAGGTACATTCAGCGACTTACCATTTCGCCGGACGTCATGGATCAGAAACACGCATTAGCGAATATCTGTCTGATGATGGCCGACTATGCGTCTAGCTTGCGCAATTACGATGAAGCCATCGTGTATTACAAGGAAGCGCTGACTTACAAACACACGGACATGAACGCTCTACTCTCTTTAGCGAAGCTATATATGCAGGTGATTAAGTAAATGATATTTTGTTAGATTCTGAAAAAATATCTTGAGTATTAGGAATTAGCATCTCGATCTCTAAAAGAAATATTAACAGGAGAATTTATTGAATAAGCGAAGAGGAGCATTTGGCTTTTATTTATTAAATTATGATTGTCGAGCTCTGATTTTTGATAGAAAAATATTAATATAAATGAATATGAATTTATATCAGATGAACGATTTAGACCGGTGCGCGCAAAACTGCTCCATCTTGTTGAATGCCGATTCCAACAACGAGGCCGCGTCCGTGATGATGGCGGATCTCGCGTTCCGGAAGGTAGACTTCGAGACTGCGGCGTTCCACTTTCGACAACTGCTAATGCGTCAACCCACCTATTGGACCGCCTTGGCGAGATTGATAGAAGTGTCGCGCAGAACAGGTTTCGTAAACTTTTTTAAAATCTTACATGCTCGCTTGTTGAGTATTTTCGACAGACAATTAACAGAAATTGATTATTGTCGTAGGTGCTATGGACGATCTCGACGAGTGGCTGCAACGAGCTCAGACCGCAATGGGTGCCGGCAATATGGAAGCTGGATTTTACTACTGCGCTGGATTGCTGGATTGGCGAACGGGCAAGTTAAACTCTGCTCTTCGAAACTTCAATTTTGCGCGACGCGACCCGGAATGGGGCCAGCAAGCAATCTACAACATGATCGAGATCTGTCTAGATCCCGATGACGATACTACACTATCGAACGAAGCATTCAATGACGAGGACGCGGAATATCAGGACTCGAGGACGATGGCTTTGAGAACGGCCTATCGATTGCTTCAGGTTTTGATCAATTTTAACTCTCAAAAGTTTATTGTGTCTAAATGTTCTACTCTCAAATCTTTTTAAATATATTATTCTAGGAATTAAACCCCAAAGGAAGCCCTCATGAGGAACTGACGCACAAGCTCCTCAGCAACTTTTTTCTGCTCGCTACTAAACAAAAGTCCAACATCGAGAAGGCCCTGCAGGATTGCACTGCTCTGGCCAGTCAAGAGACTTTGCGGGAAACGCCGCGCGCCCGTAATCATCTAAAGCGCGTCAGCAAGAACGTCTGGACATTTGAGGACGCCGAGTATCTGGAACGTTGCTGGCTGCAGTTGGCGGACATCTACGTGCAATCCAGCAAATATGAGCTGGCGAATGAACTGCTGAAGCGGGTGCTACAGCACAATGCCACCTGCGTGCGAGCTCACGAGCTGTCAGGTGAAGACAAATTAAAACTATAAGAGATATACTTTCGAAAATTATAAAATAAAGATTATTATTAAACCATATTTTTAATTGTCCAAAATAAATCGTGGTTTGGATATAATTTGTAGGCTACATCGCCGAGAAGGATCAGAATTATCGAGAAGCGGCAGCGAGATACGCCCAAGCCTGGAAATGCGGTGGCAAAACGAAACTATCGGTCGGTTACAAACTGGCCTATTGCTGCCTGAAGGCGAAGTCTTACGCCGAAGCTATCGACGCATGCAATGAAGTACTGAAACAGAATGCGGATTATCCGAGGATCAGAAAGGACATTTTGGATAAGTGTATCAATAATCTTCGCACGTAAAATTTGTACATTGATCGATTGTTTATTTGTTATATGTTATACATGTTGTATGCACATCCGTCCTTTTAATTCCGTCCGTTAATTAATTAAGTTATAAGGAACTAAAGATAAAGCTTAGACAATTAAAATACACAATACAATAGTAATATTTGAAACACTTGGCTGTTTCGTATAATAATAATTAACAATTTGTTAGTAAAATATAATTGGCAAAGACAATACGATTAAGCTTAACGTCCAAAGTTTCGGTCGATCTACGAGCCGAGATTCATAAATCTAGGTACATGATTCGCGTAGCCGAGGCTGCGCCGCACATCGCCAGAAAACTGGCCACATACACTACCGCCGCAGTGGAGCCTGTGAGGTTGACGATCGTACCTAGACAACAAGATAGCAAGAATTGCGCAAGAAACACCATGGAGGAGACGATGGCGACGTCGGTTCCCAATCCGCGTACGAAACCGCCGGAAATTGCGTCGCCCTCGTCGCTCGTGAGGGCGAAAGTCGAGGACGTGTGATAGTGCGCAATCAGTAGATACGGCATGGTAAACAGCGTGGAATACATGACACCGGCGGTCCACGAGAAGAGGATGACGCCGACCTGGTGTTTCATTAGGGCCATCAGAAGCATGCCGACGCTATAGAAGAGCAGCGCGTAGATGTAGACCTAGATATACAAACATCATTTACTTTACAAAATATCGTGGAAATATTGCGTGTTTTTTGAATGTAGAGCTAATCATCGATACTGATTTCGATTAAGCGGAGCTTTGGAGCGTATACCTTACGCGCGCGGAAACGCTGAATCAGCCGCTCAATGATAAGCGAGTAGCATGAACAGGACAACGAATACATAGACATTCCCCAGCATCCGAATCGCACTCCCTCCTCGTAGAGCTCTCGTTCATTGGTGTCCGCGGGCGCTCGCGGATTTCCGCCGTACACTGCCTCGCCCACGAAGTCCGTGAAGTACAGGGAATAACACACATGTGCCATCCAGCAAAACAGATTCGTCAAACACACCTGGCGGCCGAAAGCTTGCAATGAATCACGAGTAAAATCTCTAAAATAGATCAGTTTCAGAAAGATCCTTGAGATCTTTTGATTAAATACTTGCTCGATAAAAAGAATTAGAAAACGATATATCTTCTCTAATTATATAAAGAAAAATGTAATTTTTTTATATATATAATATGTGAAATACATAATTAAGGAAGAGGAGAAGAGCGAAGGATGAAGATTATTTTTTAAATATCTGACTTATACCAAACGGAGACTGTGTGGCATGTAGACGATTGACAGCAGATACTCCTTTAAGGTTGCTCTGGGATTTGTTTCACCCTCGAAGCCGTAGTTGACGTGACTATCTCTGAAAACTGGATCTTCAGGACGATCGGAGAGTTGCGGATCGAGGGTGAATTCCTTGTTTGATAATTCATTCGTGAATGGAGTAAAAATATTAAGGCAAATATATATATATGCTGTTGGATATTAATAATTTATAAACTTACTTCCGTCTTCGGTGCTTCTGCCTCGCGTTCAACATCAAGGGCACCGTATGTCTTCGACTCGTCGTGGATGATCTTCTCGCGCTCGTCTCGCTTGTTCTCCGTCCCTTGAATTTCCTCCGATGCCTTACATAAACATGGAAGAAATTATATCTCGGGACTTCACTTGAAAGCGACGATAAAACACTACGTGAAAATAAAATCCACCTTCGATTCTTCCGTCTGCCTGTACTGATCTCTCTCGAGTACCTCGAGTGGGATCTCCTTGAAGCTGGTAATCGTGCATATGACACAAATGATGAAGATAATCGTGATCAGAGTGAAGGTCACTTGCACGTGCCCGCCCAGCATAACGCCGAGCGAAGTAGCGTCCCAATTGATGCCGCCCAAACCATAGCCCATGAAGCCCCCTAAACCCGCCATTATGGTGAACGTGCTTAAGCCCCTAGCGTGATCCTCTAAACAGATTTTAGATATTAATACAATTAAATCTAAATTTTAAAAAATGTTTGTATTTATTAAAAGATGGGCGAAGAAAGATTATATATAATAGTTTGAAGAGATATCTTTTTAAAAACACTTTGAAAAATGAGATTGAGACAAAAAAAATTGTCTCGCTAAATATATAATAATTAAATTATGCCATTCGTATCTGTATATTTTAAAGGAAGAAAATTACATTTACTTTTAATTATAGATTCGCATCTAATCAAGTTTGTAGAAATTATATCCGTATATATTACCGGGTATAGTAACATCGAGGAGATAAGCTCTCGCGGGGCTCTGACAAGCGTCAGCGTCAAAGTCGAGCAGCACCGTGCCGAGAATCGTGAAGAGGATACCCCAGGAGTGCGAGGAAGCCCTTTCAACGGATTCAGACGCTTCCTCTTTGGCTAACTTTGCCGTTGTGCGATGTCCGAGGGGAATCGTCTCGTTCGTACGAGACGTCGTATCGCCGAACACGTAGCCAATGTGTTCACCGTTTGGCACTAGAATCAGGCCTGTAAGTAATTTATTTATTTTAGAGTATACATATATAATCTTCTGTATCGTATCATCTTTTATTATGGGAACATGGTAAGCCTGCGACTTGCCTATGAAAACCCCGAGGGCCAGCAGAAGAATGAAGGGTCGCCTCCTGCCGTGCTTGAGTTTACAACGGTCGCTTATACTGCCGAGGATAGGCGTCACGAAAAAACCTACGAGAGGACTCAGCGCCCACACCAGCGTCATACGTTGGTGATCGACACCGATCTTCAACAACGTCGGCGAAACGAAGGCGGTTTCCGCCGCGTATGAGAACTCGATCCCCATCACGGCCGCCGAAATTCGGACCAGCTCGGCACGGGTCTTCCTTCTGAGATTATTAGAAAAATAATCCGTAAAGCTCTCCCATATCATTTCAATCGTTGATTTACATCGCGTAGATAGAATATTTTTTTTATTTCCGAAACACTATCGTTAAAAAAAAAAAAACAGGTAAAATGAAATACAGTTGAATATTTGTGTTATTTTCAAATGTTACTATATAAATATTAACACCAAAATATTTTTTACACATTTCGGAAATCAATATCTCTCTGTCTCTTTTTAATATTAGAATATTTAGAAATTAATATGCGCTAGATTACATTGATATACATAAAAATACAATAGAATTATAATATTATACATTGATTTTATATTTATATTGAATATTCTCTGTTGAAGTATATCGAATTCTGTTCACCTGTAGATATGAGAATAGTCCTCCAACGTGCGCTCCAGCTTAGGCGGCCCCCGTAGATGATGCCTCAGTCCGTCTAGACCTTGATCCAGATTCAGACCGTTTTTCCATTCCTTCCACGCACTCCATCGTTCTTTGATGGCTTCGCGAACACCGTGAATTCTACCCGCGAATCCCTCGTATTCGTGCAACTTGTCCACCATGATCCGACTCTTATCTCGAGCGATACAGGATGAACGATACAACGACGGGGCACTCGATAGTGTCGGGACACATTATCCTTCAAAAAGATGATCCAACGGCAAGTTTCATATTCTTTCTCTCTTACGTACAAATGTCATTATAAATGTCAACTGTAAGAAATATTTTTGTTATTAATCATATGCGCTTGAATTTATATTTGTAGTAATTAAAAAGCGTCTTAAAAAACATATAATTAAAGACAATCGTGAAAAAAATACATAATGTGCTAAATTTCGTGGCTTAATCCTGCAGTTTAATTGTTATAATTATATATAATTTAAGCGTAACTGATTTTTAATTTTTTACTTATTGTCTATCAAGTCGTAAATTATAAATTAATCTTAAAATCACAATTAAAACTTTATTTTAATTTTTTAGCATAGATTATATAATTTAAATTGGTATTATTATATAGTGTATCATTACATATCTAAATTACATTAGTTTTTTTTTTTTTTTTAAGGAGACAATTCAACAATTTTTTATTGCGCACTCCGTATATAATCCAAATAATAAAATAGCACGAAAGATTTTCGATCTGAATCGTCCTAGATTGATGATATTTTGGCAAAAATACAATGAATTGTTTGCGAATCCGCTGGACCACATCGCGATCGACTGGCGCGGACGTGGACGGACGAGGGACGACTGATCGCCGAGCAAGCACGAAAGCTCGAGAAATGCCCGCGCAATCTCGAACAGACACTCGCGACACAGTTTGCGTTCTTGACTGAGATTCTCGTGTACAGATTAGCACAGCTTGTCTCCGAAATCTTATAATATAATATATTATAATTATATTACTAATAATTAACATTACGGAATATATATTGTAAACGTTATTATATATGTATATTATATATTAGAGAATATATTTTATAATATGATATATAATAATAAAATTGATACTACCAATTTGATTTCAGGAACGAATATGTAGACCAACTTTAAACAAATCGTATACCCGGAAATGATTTTGTGGAATTTATCTATCTGAAGAAGCGAACGTTCTGCTTGTGCCAGCAAAAATCGAAAGATTCTTTGCCGTTGCAATTTTCCTCGTAATAGGAGGTTTACACGATGTCCAATAAAGTAGGAACGTCTCTCTCGGAGCGCAATCCGATTACCGCGTAAATACGTCTGAAATGGAGTAAATACGGGGGTCCATTCGTTTCACTTCGTTTTTTTTCTCTCCACCTCGTTAGATAAATAAATTACGGAAAGGAAAATGAAAAGAGACACACAAATGGGAATGAGTTTTACGGGGACAACGCGATCGATACAGTTTATCGCCTAATACGCAGCTTCGACCAAGGCCATTCACGCAACGAAAGCTCGGCGCTTTGTAGGTCTTCGCGGCCGCTTCGTGTTAGATATCGCGGATGAAGACGAAGATGCCTTAACAGTGCCTCAATCTTCTGGATCTTCTCTTAGAATGTCAATCGCTGCTACAAAATTAAACCAAGACACGAATCTTGGTAGATTTTAAAAGACCTCTTTTTTCATTTACTTGTAGTGTGGACACAAAAAAAAAAAAAATTTGAAAAATGTGCAACGTACGCGCAACCACTGTCTGCAAACCACTCGTCTCATTTTTCTCTTACAAAAATACAATTTTTTTTATACATTTACAAAATCTCTTTTTTGAAAAACCCAATTTTAAAAAATTAATAGTATAGTCATATTTCTTTAAGCTTGTATAATTTTGTTTGCGATCGCATAAAAATGCATATGGTTCTTACAAACAGAAAAAAAATCACGTCGATGGCTATATAATGTGATAAATAGTAAGATAACGATGTTTGTAAAAGCTAAAATATTCGTGTGGATAAAGATTTTGCTTTCTTAAATATACATACACACACATTTTAAATTATGCTCTTGAATTTTTCAATTTCTGTGTAATTTACAGAACGCCTAAAATCAATCCGCAATGTTTCAGAGATAATAAGCTGCAAGTTTATTTCTTCTCGAAGGACGGAGGGAGAGAAGCCGATTGAAACCGTCCATCTTCCGGTCTTTTGAAAGAACGCGGACGATTGCAGGATACAATTTCCTCGCAGGAAATTACGTCTACAAATCAGGAGAGCTCTTCGCACTATTTTCCACGCGCTTTTAAAGTACACGCGGGAGATCGATATTCATTGTCGTCACCGCGTTGTAATATCAACGGTTTTAAAGGTCTGAGAGAGAAATATGCCAGGATTGAAAATGTTACTTCATAAACAATAATTTTTAAAAGATTTTAATTGTGTGCTTTATGTGTGTTTGCTTGAAAATTATGTCATCGAGAGAAAAGTATTAGGTCTACCGGAAAGTTCTGTCTGTTTTTGGAATAAAACAAAATACAAATTTTTATTACCGTCAATAAACTTTATTAAATAATGTAATTGCCATTATTCGGAGAAGTATTGTCAGCAACTGGATAATTTAAATACAGCAGTCCAAGAAAAGAGCCCGGCGATGTACAATAGGAAGAACATCATACTGCATCATGATAATGCCAGGCCCACATGCTGCTTTGGGGACTCGTCAAAAAAGTGCAGAACTAGGCTGGGAAATTCTGTCGCATCCACCATATTCCCCGGACTTAGCACCCACCGACTATCACTTGTTTTTGTCCTTACAAAATTTTTTGAGGGGCAAAAAATTCAAAAAGGAACAAGATATCAAACAAGCACTGGTTCGCATCAAAAGATAAAACATTTTTCGAAAAAGGGATATACAAATTGCCCTCACGCTGGCAAGAAATCATTAATAATAATGGCAATTACATTATTTAATAAAATTTATTGACGGTAATAAAAATTTGTATTTTGTTTTATTCCAAAAACGGACAGAACTTTCCGGTAGACCTAATATAATATCGGTAAATATGATATATTGTTGGGAACAGAAAAGGTCGCGGGAAAATCAATACGAATTTTACCACATTGTCAATTCGTTATGCTTTAATTATTCCGCGACGCGCAATCGCTATCGGACAAAAAAAAACATTCGGACGGGAAACGTGATAATTTATAGCGAGCGTAAACGCAAAACGTAACGAGACTTTTATTATTGAAACCTAGGGTTACACAATTCTCCATCCCACTCGTTGCCGGTGAAAAAACTCCACCGCGTCTCTGACTTTAAGCCGACGGAAGGACGCGCTTTAATTGGACTCGTTGAAAGCGACACGGGACAATACCTCATTGCTATCCATTATTCTTTGTCGGATTATTGTTCGTTGCCTATCTTCAAGCTCGCGGCTCGAAACATGCGCGTCAATAGCATTGCTCTGCAATTGGCGCAAACGCATAATCACGTTTCGCCTCGAGAGAAAGGAAAAAGAAGTATTACGTAATTAATTAATCATTATACAATCTTGGTTGCTGTTACCAACAAGTACTATTTCAATATAGATTTAATGTAATAATAGATTCCATAGAGTTGGTACATAAATTATTTGATTTATTAAATATTTTATGTGTTCTATTTTCAATTATTCCGGATTGTTCCCCTTCGAGATGAATCAGCTTTCATGATGCAGAGTCACGAAGAGGTCGCGATCGTAATTTCGGTCGAGACAAGATCGTGAGAATCCCTTAGGTTAAATCTAATCCGAGCAGGAGGAAGATTAATGGAGGTGACGTTACTTGTAGTTCGCGTTTGCCCGTTTGTTCCTTCGAAAACTAAATGTCGACCTCAAGATTGAAACAAGAATAAGGCGGAAGAGAATCTTGGAAACATTGATGATGACTCATCTTTATTGCTCATATTAATACCGAGATCCTTAACTATACGATGATTAATCTCGCGATTAATCGTATCACTTTTTTACGAGCAAATGTCAAACAAGACGAATGTATATTTCGAAAAATATTAATGACTAATTTTATCAAAAAAATAGAAATAAAAAATTAAAATAAAATTGGACAAAATAATTTGATTGTGTCATAAATTATAAAAATTATATCGATTGTTAATAAAATTTATTCTATCGTAATAAACACGGTCGATGAAAAACATTTTGTAGAGTGTCAAACGCATAATGAAGTATCTTCGATGATAAGAAATATAACGACGTGAAATCTTACAAAGGTACGAGACCGAATTTATCAGGCGTCGCTTCGCGAAACTTCGTTTTTCGTGTCGAAAAATGTTCTTCGCGAGCAGGTAAAGCCGTCCTTTTTGATTACGCGGTTTACGTTCCGAATGTAATTAAGGTAACGAATATCGCGCGCAGGAAAGATGGGAGCGTGTTTCGTTGTCTCGACCAGTTTTTGCTCGCACTCGAATGTCGCCTCTTTAACACAGTAAAGGTCTCCAGGAAGACAGGAGTGACTGAAGAAGGAAAGAAAGAGGAGGGAAGAGAGTAGGGCGAAAAGAGAATCGAAGTTCCCGACAGCACTCCGTGGGACCCTCGGGGCCGCGCTTAATTGGATCGAATCGAGTCGAGGCAACGACGAGGAAGAGTCACCGCTCGTACGCTCGTTTCGCGTCTTAAATTTCAATTATTTCGAACTGCGATCAGAGACCCTTGGATCAAAACGTCGGTTTATTTGTCGTTAATAAAACACAAACGCTTTCCTTCTGACTGGACTGAGATTAATTGGAAAAACTTGGAGCGTTTGAACTCGCTAAAATAACTAACGTTCGATTCCAGATTATACCTCTGTTGTGAGCGATATCTTTAATGTAAGTTCTATCTCTTCTTTTTTTGTGATGCGAGCAAGAGAATTTAACAATAAATAAAGTTAATTGGAAAGATACTTTTAAAGAAGACAGATTTTTTTTTTATATAAATTAGAAAATATGTAAGAGATACACGGAGAATATTTTATATTTATATATACACACACACTATATTTATGCATTAATATAAAATTGATCACTTACTGTGGAAAGAGACGTTTAATTTAAAAAATAACAAATAAAATAAATTAAATAAATTGTAAATTACTCATCTCACAGTTACTCCTCGCTGTCGCCCAATGCCTCTCTTTCCCCTCTTGCTTCTCCTTTGCTGCCCTTTTATGACACTTTTGCATGACACTCACGAAAACACGGTTAATTACGATCACGGGCGCACTAATTGGTGGAATACGACGATCGCGTGACACTTTACAGGGCGCTTCCAATGTATAATCATCGTGCGCGACACGCACTTTATTTCATTGATGAGAGAACAACGTGAAAATTATGGCGCTCGAAAATTTTGCTATTCAAATTCACGCGTCACTTGCTGCGGTGACATTTAACAGATAATATACACTTTCGTTTTACAATTACTCACCTGGTATTATAAAGTTTGGAATACGAATTAAACATAAATATTCAAGGATTGTGCAATATTCAAAGATATAGTTAAGTTTGTCGACTGTTTGCACGACTAATTTTGAATAAATTTTGCGGGATATGCGTTTTGACAAATTGCAACGATGGATTATAGAAACGCCAAATTTATTATGCGCGATTGATAAATATTAAAATGTAGGATTAATAACGCAGGAAAAAAAATATTAAAATGCAGGATTAATGTACTTATTATAATTGAACATATCGCGACGCTGTTCGATCAGCCTCGTAAACGCAAACGTTTTGTTAATGACCGTAAATGGCATTGGCGACTTCACTTTGATATCGCGCGATATTACGCGAGTCGAGTTAATGGCTAGTTGAGAGGCAATGTACCGTCCCGAAATATATATAATCGAAATTCACGATATTGCATGCGAGATACATAATAAATCCCGCGAAATAAATTATTAATTAACGGTCGATATATCATCGGTTTTCCTTTACTTGTATTATTCGATCCGGTAATCGTATATTACTCCCGATAATTATAGGCAAATAATGCTTAAATCGGTGAAAAATTTTAAACGCGGTATATATTCATATCTAAATAAATTAAAGAAATAATTATCGTTTTAAATATTGAGAAATAAAATAATAATTACCCTTCCCTAATGCTTCATTTTCTTCTCGTCCATATTTTAGAAAAATAAATTGGTAGCGACATATTATCGTAGTATTTTTCGAGACACGATCGTGAGAAGTACTGGAAGACGTCAAATGCGTAATAATTACAATTATTGGTTATTAGTTAGCGTGATTCGTATGAACATTGCGACGACAGCTATTTATCGAAGCAATATTTCGCGTAATATATTTGGAAGAAGAATCTCGGAACGACATGAGATGGAAATTATAAATTGTTTTGTTATGATAAAACAAATAAGTTAATTTGTTAGTAATTGTAAAATGTTTACGGGCATATAATGACTTCTTTAAATATACCTCGAATATATTTTGCCTCGCGCTGTAATTTGAATTTTTCGCTTGTTTTCAAATGTAATTAACCCATCATTTTCATATCAAAAATTTTGAGTAATATACAAACCAGGGTAAAATAATTCACATAATGAAAAGCCCCGTGATATATCGATCGTTTATTAATATAATGCATTTATATATTCCGCGGTATTTATATATCGCGTGTGCAATATTGAATTTTGAATGACGTATTTTTGGACGGCACAACGGATCTTTTGACTAATCATTTACTTGAATGGTATCGCACGATATCAAAGTGAGATTGTTTGTGAATGATATTTTCAAGTTTTTTGATG